AGTGTTTTGATCAAATATGGGGATAAATAATCAAAATTTGCTCAAATCTCATCGATAAACTATTTGTCTCAAGAAGTATTTCTAAAGGCTTCAAATGATTAAACAAATTTAGAATATCAGAGAGACAAATGATTTAATAAATAAAAATAAAATAAAATAAAATTCCTCTAAACCTAAAAATCCTTGATGGTGAAAACTGTTTTAAAGAATTTCAGATAATTTTTTTGGTCACTGTGGAGAAATTTCAGCCCTCTTTTCTTGTAAGAATTGTTTTACCGGTAATTTAGCCACATTGGAGGATTTTCCTGTTTCAGGCCATGCCACAGGACCTGGATAAGGATTCATTCAGACTTTGACTAGGCCACTCCAAAACTTTCATTTTGAAAATTGTTTACTTTTGAACTCTTATTTTGTTCTTGACATAAGTGTCACAAGCAGATGGCTGGACATTTTCCTTCTTTATTTTCAGAATTCTTATTTATAAATCATAAATGATACGATAAGAGCCTACTCCTACTGTCAGCAGGATTTTCTTTCCTTAAACGCTGTGGTCGTTTAAACCAGATGTAACTGGGTGCACACCTTCCATAAAGTTCTGTTTGTGTTCAGAAAGAGAAATCCAGAGCTTGAACACAGATGTTGCACGACAGTCTGAGAGCAAGTCGGATTTTTATTTAATGCTCAAGTTAAGCAGAAGGTCCACTTACATCTGTAGCTGATTAAATCAGACCAAAGAAGACACTCGGATGATTTGGTGATCACTGGACGGCAAAAAAACAAGTTGACAGACAATCAGTGGGGGGCTCTGATTGTCTGATTGTCTGTCAATCAGAGCCCCCCACACAGAGTGTGTGTGTGTGTGTGTGTGTGTGTGTGTGTGTGTGTGTGTGTGTGTGTGTGTGTGTGTGTGTGTGTGTTTGAAAGAAAATCATTGCATATTCCAAATAATACATGTGTGTAAGTCATTAGGCGTCATCTCAGCTGGCAGAATCAGGGAACAACTGAAATGTGGGTCACTTGGTGGTTTATGGAGGGGGTGGAGGGTCCTGGCTGCTGGATGACGCTCACTGATCAGACAATTTCAGGATCAACCGGCGCCAAACTCAACCGCCTTACTGGTAATCCTTCACTTCTCCAGATCTTACACAAAAATAATCTGATTAGTTCTCGATACATGTGTCGTCCCAATAATTATTGCAATAACTGATGATATTGAAATGGTATAATAACGCTCTCAAAGACTGGTGAACTTTAATTTAGTGAAAAAAAATCCATAACACTGGAACTGGAAGATATTCTAAACAACCAAAATCAACGAGTAAAACGAGAAAAAAATAAATAAAATGGGTTATTTCGGTAAACAAATTCACTCTCCACAAATATTAATCATCAGAATGTAAATTATCGCGATTATTTTAGTTTAAGATGCAACTAATTGGTACAAGCTGTGTTTATTTGTCTACTGTAGCTGATGCTGCTGCACATTTGCACAAGCTTCAAATGCAACTGAATTGTACAAGTTTTCCTGGGTATTTTGGTTTCTCTAAAGCAGAACCAACATATTGTTTTGCTTCCTGTGTCAACACTGTCCTGTTGCAGCATGTCGGGCATGCCGCATGGAGAAGCTGCCAAGGCAACAAAGAATATCTGAAGATGAAATATTAATTGCTTGATGGACTTTATGAAATCAGGACCATCAGAGTAGATGGGTTATGTTGGTAAAATGTGAGCCTGTGTTTTTTTTTTCTTGGTGAACGCATGTGTAAAGTAGATCTGTGTGGAGGAACTGCAACGATGTTGCAATGAACACAAACTGTAATGAAAAAACAAAAAGGAGGAGACCCAGGGCAGTTTTTAAAAGGGACTTCTTATGTAAAATTCACGTTTTGCACATTTTTAATACTTCCATTTAGGTCTCTAGAGTTTCTCCAAACAGCCCAAGTACTTAAAAAACATCCACCATTGCGTTTTTTGGTAATAAGTTCATGCTTTTTGGTGTCTGAATAATGAGCAGTTTCAAAAATCTTCTGATTGAGTCACAATCAATAGACACTAGCAATCCAGCCGGAGCTCCAGCACCTTTGGTCAACTGGTTTTCCTATGTGCGCTGTACAATGGCTGCTGGAAAAGACATGTTTTGTTGTTGACATACCATCAAGAAACCACTTGCTGCATTCTTGTTGGATGTGACGTAGGCTCCATTTCTGCTTTTCAAAGATGTATGGCTGTATAATTGTGCATTTATCTGCAGCCATTTTGCTGTGCGAGTGTAAACGTTGAGTTTGGGGACATGGCCATCAGCAGCTTTTTTGGATTTAAAGTGACAAGAGGCCCTAAAACAGCTCAATGTGAAAGGAGATAAAATTAGGCTGAGCTGACCAGACCGAAATCTCATTATCTAAGAATAATTCTGTAAAAATGTAGCAAACATGTTTTGTACAGCCCATAATCTGTTCAAGAAAGCATAATAGGTCACCTTTAACGGCAGAATGCAAAAGCCTCTCCAAGCATATAGAGTAAAGTGAGCCAAAGGGGCGTGAGAATAGCAGTGTGTGTCTTTATCTCTGTGCACGTCCTCTGTTCATGCTCATTGTAGCCACCCCCACCAAACACACATACACCCACACTCTTATTGCTCATATTTTCCATTCTGAAATAAATGCTCCTAGCATAGCTGAAGCTTGAAGTCAGTCAAGCCATTAAAACACACACACACACACACACACACACAGTCATGGCCGAGTCATTATCCGAGCTGCGGCCTGCGAGTCCAATTTTTTAATCCCTAAATCTGTTCCTGTCGTTGGTTCCTGCTCCTGTTTTGCTGTAAGCTGGTGTTGTTGTGGTTTCAGTGGACTTAGGCTCTGTTATTAGCCTGAATGGAGAATCAGAGGTTTGGGGGGTAATTTAGAGCAGGATGCGTTGGCTGCACTGCGTTTATAATCAGCTGCACGGAGACATGGTGGTTCATAAGAAGAAAATGTTAGAGTGCGAATGCTTGTTTCTAAGAATTTTTATTTTTATCTTAGATTTTTATTTATTTTTTTCAGTCTAGTACAAAGCAAATATGTAACGTTTTATTTGCTTTTCAAAGAATCTCTTTCAAGGGCTTAAATGTCTTCAGGTTTAAAAATGTGCAGCTTCTCTTGCATATTTTATATTTGGAAACTGGATATTAGATTTCTGTTTGACTCAGTTTACACTCCAGTGTACAATCATTCACGTTGAAAACGTTTATTATTGGATTATAAATGAATAGGAGACATGTCGGCTCATTAAGCGTCTCAGTTACCAAGGTCCATCATTAATGTAAGACGTTTTGCAGCCCAGATTGTAACCGTAGCTGGTGAATGCAGGCTGCTAGCGGAGGTGTCCTTCATTTGATGTTATCAGGTTCTGTTAAGCCACAACAACAGCTGCAGAGTTTGTAGTTTGGGTTATTTTGGCTTTACAGGTGAAAAGCCAACATGTTTCTGCGCAGATGAGTTAAGTTCTTTATTTGATCGAAGAAATTATACCAATAAAAGACTGAGCTGTGGGCAGGATTAGCGCTAACATTCTCCAAAATTAATGCCTTAAAAATTAATCTTATTTCTATGTATATATGAGACAAAAAGGTGAGGCTGCTTCAACTTTTCCCTGAATATTATTCTTACTACATGCTAGTAGTTTCTGTACACGCATTTGTGGAAATATTTCAAACCAATCAATGGATGAAAGTTTTAAGCTGGTAATTTTCTAGCTTCATGTAACACTTAGCTGCGCTGCAATCATTCTTCCAGAAGCACAATATCAATACTATTTTAACATCTGTTATTCAAAATTACTTTTCACTTTTGGCTAGAGATGCACCGAGTCATGTATTTTCTGGCCGATGTCATCTTTTAGCTTTTTTTGTCTTATTTTGTAAAATCACTGGTGAAAATAGGTAACTTATTTTATTTCGATTTCTTTAATTCAGCTTTTGATGACGTGTTTAGCCCTCGCAGCTGGTCAACCATAAAACCTGCCAGTTACAACAGATTTTAGTTTATCTACTTTCAAGTAGTTTGGGCATTTTTATTTATTAATAAACATTGTTTAGTATTTATCTCAATGTAGATAAATCAAGAAGAAATACCTGCAAATTATGATTTTACACCCAAATTCTAACATTTCTGGTTTTCATTTGACCTTTACTGAATAGAAAGTCACTTCTTCCTTTGTGCTCAGCTCTTATTTGGTGGACCGGGGTTGGCAGGTTGAAATCTGAACAAACACCTGGAGTTCCTCAAGGCTGGATTCTCGAGTATGTCACAAAGAAGAAACGATATGAGATAAGAAGGGACATGAATGTGTCACCACTTTTAGACAATCTAATAGGTGGAACTACAAATGTTTTTCCTACGCTTATCTCTTCCCACGGTTATCCAGACAGAGAAAATCTTGAAATCTTATTCCATACTTGTGCAGATCTATACATCTGAGTTAAATCTTCATCTGACTCTGTTTTCCAGTGATCCGTGCAAAAGTGGTGGGTGAAAGAGAAGTCGATTCTGGGAATGACATCTACGGGAACCCCATCAAGAGGATCCAGTATGACGTCAAACAGATCAAGGTTTAAATCATCCCACATGTGCCCAACATGTTAGAAAAGGTTTTGGTGTTTTACTCTTAAATATTGTTGTTGATATTTCAGATGTTTAAAGGGCCCAACCAGGACATTGAGGCGGTTTTCACTGCACCAGTTTCTGCTGTGTGTGGCGTCACCCTGGACGCAGCTGGGAAGAAGGAGTACCTGATCTCAGGTATTTATACTAAATAATGTTGCACAATTATTGTGTTAATGAAGAAGAAAGCAAATTCACAGAGACTGATGTATATGTAGAAGTTAATTTGGACATTTCTTTGTCTTGATTGCAGCAGCTTCGGTGTAATAAACAAAAGTTAGGACACTTTGTGGAAACAGTGAGGAAAGCTACGGGAATTTTTAAAAATATGACATTTGGGCATGCAGGTGTGCTAAACCAGGCAGACAAACACAGGGTAGATAAAGACTAGTGGGCATGTTGGGGGAGGAAACTGTTTATGTCATTATGGATAATGATACGTTTCTGTCTAAACCCTGTGGAGACCAGTGGGCCTTCGTCTACCGTAAGACACTTCGAGACTCCGGGAACGGTTGAGTAGCTGTTTACTCCACAGTGCATTTCTCAAAAACTGCAAACAGACGTAATTATGTTTTCTATGTTAACACACAGCACAGCTTTAACGAGAAATGCATCACTCAAGAAAAAACGGAGCTCCACAGGGCTTAATATTTGACCCATTTTATTCATCGCTGCTGTTTTATAGAAATAATTTGACTCTTTTTAGACTTAGTGATATTGAGCATCTTAGAGTGAGATGAGAGTGTCACTATTTTAAAATAAGTTCAGGCTGAAACTAAATTATATTTGCAAAGGATCATGGATGCTTGAAAGCCTCAGAGGTTTGCTAGGGTCAGAAACAAAGATAATCATGAAGACCAAGGAAGAATGAAGCTGTTTTCATGGAGCAATGTTTAATCCATCACATGAAAATGGAAAGAGCTGCAAACCTAAAACTAAAAAATACTAATAAACAACTTACTCTACATTTGATAAGTTAAAATGAACATCTTTTGGCAGTATTCAGATCCAATCTGCTTTAATTTGATTCCTAAAAATTTTTAAGATTGTTTATGTGGCCCTTAATAATCTAGAGGGCCACATACAGAACTGTAGCGGGCAGGATTTGGCCCCCAGGCCTCGAGTTTGACAGATGTGATCTAAACCGTCAGGTCAGAAAAGTAGTTATAATACTTGTAGCTCTTTCTCAAAAACTGAAGAAAGACTAAAAGTAGCTCCCAGAGACGCTTTTCTTAAAATTTTACCTCGGTAAGATGAAAGTTATTAACAAAGCAGCATAAGAGAACTGCTAACAAGATGAAATATTAGGATTAGTGAGCCTGGGAAGACAAAATGGAGAGATATTCTCTATCAAACACTTATAATAATAAACTTTTTAAAAAAGGGACAAGCTGCAGCTTAAACGTTTTAACCTGTAATATGATAAATGTGTCTTATTCCACTGGCAGATTATTTTTCATCAATATAAAGGAATTATTGATGTAAAATAAGCTCCTATATCTTGCTGAAAAGTTACTTGTATGCTAGTTTTGTCTTATTTCAAGCTTACTAAAATATTTGCACTAGAAACTACTAGACCAAAAATACTTGGTAGGATTTGGTGTTTTTGTAATGTTGCAGTGTTGACTCTGGTTAGATGACTGCACTTTTCAGAGTTTTATTTTCAAACAACAATAAAGAAAACATGTCTCTTTTGCTTCCTTTCTCACTCATGCACAACTGTGTGTTCAGCCAATTGCTAAAAATACACAGAAGTTTCCTGCTTCAGTACGACAAAATGTGAGAAAGCCTCAGGAGAGTGAACACTTTTTCACCACACTGTAATGTTTTCATGTTGAGAGAGGTTGATGTTGTGAATTCAACGAACAGGAGCATCCGAATGAGGCGGCAGACGAAGCCGAAGAGACTCAGCAGATCATGAGGTCATTCATGCTCTGGTTTCCCCATCACAGACAGAGATGCACCCGCAATCATTCGCCCCCCTCTAATTACACGGAGTTGTAAGAGGAGGAACTGCTGAAGCCAGCGTTTCCTTTCGCAGCCTCAAACAGTGGCAAAAAACAGTCAGCTTTCTGCTGAGTGGGGCATCTTTGGAAAATCATTTATCTTCTACTTAGGTGGAAGGGTCAAACGTTGGAAGATTTGCAACAAATTGTGAGTCACATGAAGACTCCAACATGCTGAGAGGCGTTTTACAGACAGACAGCCATGAAGACGGAGCGACGCACATCTCAGCAAATCTGCAAACTTTGCTCCATATATCTTGTTTTGTCTAGTGCCACTTGTGTGGGTTGCACAGACGCTGGCACAGTCGTTAAGTGTAGATGCCTGCGGGCTCCAGTCTGGAAAGCAACAGCTTTTTATCTGGTGTACCAACAAATCTGTTATCTGTTGTTCAGCCTGTGAGAACATCCAGGGCTTGTTGTTTTTCGCCTAATCTTGTTTTGTCTGAAATGTTCTCTCACATGTGCTCCGCGCCACAACTCGCTCTTTTCCAGGCAAGGCCGAGGCGGGCGGACGCATGCACGTGACCCTGTGCGATTACATCATGCTCTGGGACTCCTTGAGCGCCACCCAGAAAAAGAGTCTCAGCCAGCGCTACCAGATGGGCTGCGACTGCAAGGTAAGGCAGCATAGGGCCATCTGTGTCTGTTTAACTCCCAGCATGACTAAGCAAAACAGCAAAACAGGCAGCAGGTATTCGCTTCCTGCAGAGAAAATCCAGACACAAGCAGGCTGGGTGAGAACAAGACATCACAACAACAAACTGGATTTTAAAGTTAGAATTGATCACTTTTTGTGGCTGGTTTTTAATTTTATCTTAATAAATTAGGTAAAAATGACATATTGTCATTTAAGGAGTTCTCGGCGTCCATCTAAAGCTGCAACTTTTCATTTCAGTGATGTGATTCAAGTGTTTTGTTTTTTTTAAGTTAGATCTGATGATTATGAATAAAAACCCTCAATTGCATTTCTTAGAATATTACAAAAGACCAACCAAAACGGATATTTTAATACAAAAATTCTACGTTGTCCTAATAATAAGGAAGACTGCTGACTTTGATAGTTGTTCAGCAGACAGTCATCAACAGCTTCAACAGGGAGGGTAAGCAGCTATAAAGTTTATTATTAAGTAAGCTGGCTGTTTGCAGAGTGTCGTATCCAAACATCTTAATTTAATTTGAGTGGAAGGAAAAACTGGGTTAGGAAGTGATGCACAAGCAACAGGGATAACAGCATCTTATTTAGTGGTTTGGTAAGGTTTCTAATAAGTCTACAAAAGCCTTGAAGAGTATTTGATTTGACTATTTGGGTGGAGAATAAGAATAAAGTTAAGAAAAACATTATTTCCAGACTTTACTGCTTATATCATTCTCTGAAAATGCTGTCCCTCTTTATATTTGTCATAGCATATAGTGTTTGGATATTCAAACTGCTCAAAACCATTTCCGTTTTTTAGTAGATGAGATGCTGGGGCTGACAGAAAATGGTGACAAGCTTATAATAATGTCAAATAATTATTGATGTTTTCACTTGATCTCACAATTTTTTTCGGTCTACACAAATATTGTATAAACGTGGCTCTTTCTAAGTAATTACAAAACTAATTTCCATATAGGTATGCATTAAATGAACAATATAAGTTACAAACAACATATAATTTTCCAGAAGTGTATGACCTAAAGTTGTTTTTCTTATAAAGTGTTACGAATTGATTTATAGTGGAGCATTTTTTTCCAACTCCTCATCCAAACTGTTCCATAGTTTTACTCCATGCACTGAAATCCACATTTCTGTTTAAAATCACACTTCATTCTGTTATTTTTGTCATCTTAAGACAAAAAACTTTTATAAATAAATTGCCAGTAATCTCTTCATAGCATTTTCAACATTAATAACAAAAAGAATCGGCAATATCTTTTATCTTCCACAAATATTATTCAGTTTCATGTTAGCGCAGAGTTCACAGCGGCTTTGTTTTGTGTTTTTCTGCAGATTGTGCGCTGTCCCTCTCTGCCCTGTGAGATATCAGCCCCTGAGGAGTGTCTGTGGACGGACCTGATGATCGAGAAGCAGGTGCACGGACGCCAGGCCAACCACTACGCCTGCGTCAAGAGGGCAGATGGCTCCTGCTCTTGGTACCGTGGCGTCGCCCCACCCAAGAAGGAGTTTCTGGACGCAGAGGACCCTTAAGTCCGCAACCTGACAGAGAGAAACAGAAACAAGGCAATTGAAATAAAAAATTAGGCTATTTAACAATTTAAAGCTATTTTGATAGAAATTAGCTGCTGTTCTGAAAATAACTTTTAGCCTCTTGTCGATGTGACCACTTTTCATGCTAAAGTTTCCCATGATTAAACAACTCAGAAGTGGCTCAAAAGTTGTCGTCGGATGCAGCATTTTCATTAAAAATTAAAAAAAAACATGACATCATGAAACTTAGGCTGTGTTGGAAATGTTCACTCACTCGTTATGTAAAGTCAATGTTAAACTAATTAGTATTTACAGTTATTTATTCCATAAATAATCACCAGCAAGACAGAGGCCCAAATTTGAGGTGATGGAATCGGAAAATCAAACAATTAGCATTGACGTTAGCAGTACAACACTGTTTTGCACACTTCACGCCACAGTTAGCATACTAGCATATTGATACTAACAGTCAGGCTCAGTTACCTTAATGGCCAGATGTTTAATATTAGCCTTCACTCAATCTGTTTGTTGTTAAAAGTGGACTAGTTTTCTTGAAAGCAACATAATTGAAGTAATTTCCTGTTTTATTCAAGTCAGGCTGTAGTTAGCTGCCACTGCTGTTAGCAATTAGCATGCTGGCATTAGTGGTTACCACTTGGCTTTTAGAAAACTTCTTAACGTTAGCTTTGATTCGTCTTTTAAGACTTTAAGTGAAAACACAGCAGTGGTCCTAGAAATCAGTTCCCTAAACGTCCATTAACAGTTAACATTTGCTAATGCTAACGGTTAGCATAAACCGTATGCTAACAGTGTGCACTCCCTGTATTCTACTTTACAAAATGGGCGAATTGCTAATAGTGGACTCACTAATGAAAGAGTGGACAATTTGAACACAACTATAGACTGGTGAAGTGTCGGTGCAACTTCCTCCTGAGGCTGGCGTTAGGAGGTCATACATGCTTGCTGAGACAGAGCTCTCCCTGTCCAAAAACGCTCGACATCAGAGTGGCAGTCATTCTCTGCTCCCTCAGACCATCATTTACTCTCCATCTTGTTTCAACTTTTATTACCTCATTCTCTTATTTTATTCCAAAGCAAATTTCAAGTTGCCTTTCTTTTTTAAATATCTCTTATTTACACTTCTCTCATTTTCTCCCCCATAAGTACTGGTGACGCCCACAACCTGCTTTCCTTAAATAGAGCGTGTAGATGAAGATTACCCATCTAAATTAAAGCCAACTCCTCTTCACTACTCTGCAGTCAAATCTTAAATACTGTATCCCCTTCCTTCTTTTTCATCTTTATGTAGCTGTACAGTACCTATGCATATACTTTTGGTGTTACTTGATAATTATTATTTACTGCGTTAGAACTAGATTTGCACTTTTTGAGGATGAATTCCAGTAAAGACAAGAGCCTGAGCACGCGGATGTGACATTTGTCATTTGCCCAGACTGCCAAATCCACCTCTGGTGCAGATTTTGTCTGGTGATGAAAGAACACACGCAAATCTTCGCTATATTTGTCATAATACAAAATAAAATATTACAATAAAACCATAGACGTGTGAAAGTTCTGGGTATCGGGGGAGATTGAATGTGTGAAAGAGGGATTGAGACGAGCTCGCAAGATGATATTTCAGTGTCTTTGTATTATCTGTCGATTGTAAATGCAAACAGCAGTTTAATGGTATTCTCTACATGCCTAATGTTAGCTCTGACTTGTCTTTCAAGTTATTATTAAATAAAAGCTTTATCGCTGTCCTAGAAAGCAACCTAATCAAAGTTTACAGTGCTGTTTTATACACCTCAACCTACAATATCTAAAAAATATATGTATGATGAAGTATTAGAGGCATAATTTAAAAGTAAACTCTTTCCATTTCCATTTACTTTGTACTTTTCAGTGTTATTATAAAAGTCGTCATGATTTTTGTGTGTTTGTCCACAATTGTTTTTAGCTGTCTTCAAACAGAGGGACCTCTTGCGCTGGAGTAACGTGAGAGTGCGGTTAACAAGTCCTTTTAGCGGAAGTGTAGAGAAATAAGTAAACATTGTTTTATTAGAGGACTTTGCATGTTTTTGATGCTTTGTGTATAAGTCCAGGCAAAGGACAGAATATTCAGTATTATCAAATAAAAACACAAGTTTGAAAGAGTGTCTTCTGCTTGTCTGTGGGGTTTTTATTTGGATTTTGTTTCATTATTTTAACTCAAAAGATATTCCGGACCAGAATACAATAGTGTCTTTGCTCTTTAAATTTCAGCATAAAACCAGGTCAAAGCTTTACAAGAATGAGAGTATAGCAGCTAGATATACACTTATTCAAATTAGCATTATTAGCATTTCTATGGGGGAATTTTTCTGCCATAATCCAAAAGCACACATTTTCATTTTGAAAGCAGAATTTCATGTCTTTCTTCTCAAAATTTGCAATGTTTGTACACAAAACATCTCGCGCTCAGACATAGTCTCTGCTCGGACTCTCCTCGCTTATGAAACATTTTCTGCTTGCTTCTGAGACAAGAAATGCATCGTCGCCTGGCAACCTCTCAGCCAGTAGTGTTGTACTGGGTGCGTTTGTTTCCTTCTAGCGGGTGTGCCTGTGTGGCTACTATTGATTGTAGCAACCTGTGCCACCCACTGGATGTAGGAAGAAACAACAGCCTCAGGTTTCCACTCCATATTCCACTAAATATCCGCTAGCAGTGTGCTACTGATCACTAACAGCCTTCTAATATTAGGTAGGAGTTTGTTCACCCAACCAACTCCTTACATCCAGTGGGTGGTGCAGGTTGCTACAATCAATAGTAGTTACACAGGCACATCCACAAGAAGGAAACATACACACCCAGTAAAACACTTTCATTCTATTGGCTAAGAGGTTGCCAGGCGACGGTACCAAAAGGTCCCAAAAGCAAGCAGAGAATGTTTTGTAAGCGAGCAGAGTTCTCAAGAGTGTGAGGAGAAAGGTTTGAGTAAACATTACAAGTTTTGAGAAGAAATTCATGAAGTCCTGCTTTCAAAATGACAATGTAAGCAAAAGTATTAAAAGTTTTGAGAACAAAACACATGGAATCCTGCTCTCAGACTGAAAATGTGAGATCTTGAATTGTGGCAGAAAAATTTCCCCATACATTTCAAATAAAAACTGCTACAGCGTCAAACAACTCTCAATATTGCTCCATCAAACTGCGCACAGGCGTACCTCAAGACTGTGTTCTCAGTTCTTTATTTTTTACTCTGCTGACCTGTTATTCTACAAAATTCAGCACAAAAGAGGTGTTGAAGTTTTCCAACAAAAAGCAAAGAGGATGAAACATCCTACCAGAGTGAGTCAGTGTGGGAACATTAATCTGTCTTAAGACCTCAATAAAACTAAAAAGCTGAGTGTCAGCAGAACTAAACTTCAGAGAGTCTTAAATATAACAGGCTTGACCCAGAAAACCCAGTAAAAGCTGACATTAGTGAGAATTCCCCTTCTCAATCTTCACTGCTTTTTAAAGAGACCGTCTCGACGAACTGCTCACATCACAGGATAACAATGACATTGCTCTCATTTCGCCTGTAAGCTTTCGTATGGCTACAGTTTTGTTGAATTAACAACATTTATAATATGAAATAGCTTATATTTAGTGCCAATTATGCTGCCAAATTCCCACCAATAGTCCCATGATTTTCAGAAAAATCAAAAACTGAAATATTCTCAAAGCATCTCAACAATTATTTCTACAACTTTATGCGAAAGTTGCAGTTATGTTCAGGTAAACTCATGAAAAGACGTCAAGCTTGTAGAAAAGATTGATGTTGAGGCCACGGATGTTAATGACAGTAACTGGATCATTTTGTTTTAACTCTGACTATTAAACTGAATAAACTTTCCAACCTGCGGTGAATCTTCAAATGTTCAGAAATCTGTAGTGGGAATGAGTGAAACTTTTTAAAATGTCACTTCAGTGCAAAAACATAAAATATTACTGTTTGTTGTCTAGTTTCTAATGCAGATATCAGAGTATACTTGAAATAAGGTAAACTTACAAGTAACTTTTCAGCACAAAATATGAACTTGTTTTAAGTCAAAAGCTACTTAATGCTAATGAAAAAGTTCTAGTTGTAAGTTAAATAATCTGCCTTTGGAACCGGTATTTTTGACATTTAACAAGCTCAAATATCTTGCTGAAAAACTTACCTATAAGTTAATTGTGACTTATTTCAACTGAACTAAGATTTTATGTTTTTGCAGTGTTCAGAGCAGAGAACCACTGAACTAATAGAAGCAATAAAAATCCCAAATGAAATGTGTTTTCTGGTTTTTAGTTGTGTCTTTGTATTAAAATACATTGTAAGCAAGAAAGTTTTACATTAAAACCTTCATAAAACAGAAGGTTTATGTTTCACTGGGCACATAAGTTCAACATTATATATTTATCTTATTCACGGCTTTAAAATTGACCTTCAGTTATTGGCTGGTTTTAATTTCCCACTGTGGGACGGAGCGCAGGCAGAACTGAGTTGTGTCCTATGAGAATTCAAGTAGATGTGGCAATCGACTCAGCATGGAAACTATTTGAGCAATGTAGAGGCTAGGCCCGCATCAGGCGATTTTGTCATCTCTGTTCATTCTCTGCTTGATCATTTCAAACAGGACTGTCATAATCACCCTGAGTCAGGAGGGATTTTCAGGTCAGGTCAACATATCTCAGAGAGGATGTAATTTTAGCAGGTGGAGATTTTTTTTTAGTGCTAGTTCTGGGTCGTTTTGTCAAACATGAATTCAACTTTTACTTGTACGCCTGTGTCTGAAAGCTGTTGGGCAAACCAGAGCAGAACGTAGATGGGGAGATGATGTTGCAAGTTCTGCTGTGCAATCCTGGTTTGCCAACGCAGAGAAACCGGACAGGCGGTTTCAAGCAGGGGTGTTAAACTCAAACACACAGTGGGCTAAAATTAAAGACTTAGTCAAAGTTGTGGGCCAACTTTGCTTTATAGGAAAAATGTAACAGCTACGTTGGCTCCACGCACAAGACGCAGGTCTGTCATTAACCTGGTGAACAGATATTT